TGCATAAACGAAAATATTTCTAAGACTGGAGGAAATTATGCATTTGCCGCAGAAATAAGACGATGTTTTCGAAAAAAAAAAAAAAAATACCTATATTACGTTTTCTGGTTCTAATATCAACAGAATCATCCCGTATAAAGGTACAGATATAAATGCAATAAAATTATTGTATCAATCTGAATGAACCGGTACACTGCATGTTTCAAAATAGTTTGATTGTTCTGGTAGAAGTACCATATAAAGCGTCTTTACTTTAAATACCAACATAACCGGTTATAGAAAACAAACCAAAAAATAAAATGCGGTCCGCGTCTCATTAAAAGAAGCCTACCAATATTCATTATATGCACTCTGCGCTTTGCACAAATTGATAAACAGACAGTATGTTTTCGACAATGTACGGTCATCTTTTAGACATTCCTGATGCCAAATTTGTCCGTGGTATGGTAGAAGGTAGAATCTAGATAATAGATTATGTACTTTAATACTGTGCGCATACTGTATATATAAAAGAATATTATAGGCACTAAAATGTACTTTTGAGTTTTATGTTTTTCACCTCGGTAATAAAAAATTGCATAATTACTTGCATGAAACTCCACACAAAATATTATATTTAAAACGCCAGGAAATTCAATATAAATAAACGTATAGGTTATATAGCAAACGATAACCAAAATCCCAAAAGCTAAAATGAATTCACCATGAATTCACCACAGTACAGGGGTGGATCCAGAACCTATAAAACGAAGGAGGGGGGGGGGGGCAAATTTTCTGAATTCAAAACGTGGGTTGATTTTTTTATCAATAGACTTCAAAGGTAAAAGGTATAAACTATTAGGATTACTAGTCTCACAAGGGGCAATTGCCCTGTTGTCCCCCCCTTTGATCCGCCGGTGCCAGAGTAACGTTTCAATGATTTATGCGAAACGTCAGTGTGAGGTTTTTCAAAAAGGTAACAAATATTAACTCAATAAATCAAAGTGTGCTGAAAAACACGGTAAAATCTAAAGCATATTGTTAAATAATCTTTCTTTATTTTTTTTGAGAACATTTTGTTGTTTTTTTTTTACAAATTATGCAAATTTCCAAAGAAACATTAACATAATGTTCTCAAAAAATTATGTCCTCTTGTGGTATCACCCCCTTGAATATTCGCATGTACAAGTTAAATATATCGGATAGAATAGATACGGCTTATTTATTTAAATTGAATGTCAATGACAAGTGATGACGGTTTATTTATCACAAAAAATACAGCACTAAAAGTACTTAACCTTTGGGAACGCGAGACCCAATCAGCACACTTCTCTTATAACCTTTGAATTATAGAGCATTCAATTCTTATAAAGGTTTCATAGTTGTTTCAGAAATTTAATATTGAATCGTAAATATAACATTTCTTACAGCATATTTATTATATGTTATAAATTTTTCTTACAGGAAACACTCAGTATTTCTTAAGAACAGCTATAAGTCGTATTTATAACACCAATTTCTTTTTTAAGGCTTTTTGATTTATAACGGTTTTATATTTGTCTTTAGTAACATTTAAAAAGTAAGTATAAATACAAAAACGTACAAATTTATAAAGCATGCTGTTTGATATAACAATCTCTTTTGGTTTGACCGTAAGTCTTCTACCATTCTGATTTGTGTCAGTATTCCTGTAACCCCTTACGATTACAAAAAGTAAATTTTGAACAATGACTTGATTTTCTGTTGAGGCAGACTGAGTTTGAAGTCTAGGGAGTCCAATTTCCAATAAGATACACTGGTTATATATATTCAACACCCTTAAGGAAAGTTGCTTCATTTTCTTGTTAAAACAATTTGTGCAACATGTATAAAGCAAAATTGTTTCAACAAACATAAAATACTCTCATTGCATCTAGAAAAAACTATATTTAAGGGAGCAAACATAGCAATTACAAAGTATGCTTTAAATGTCTTTATTACGTTCTGTATTAGTAACACTTAAAAAATATCAATGAGGTTAAATGCTCTCGAAGAACACAAAAATATTCTTGCCGCTGGCTGGTTTAATAGAGCCAATTTGAAACATTTTATTATTTCTATTTTAACACGTTATTGACTTGTTGATGTTTAAGTCAACAAAATGGACATCTCACGCTGGAAAAAGATTTAAAATAGCAGCACATTTCGAAGAAAAGTGTTGAAAAATTATAAAAATGCAAATAAACACAGTGGTACTATATTTTTATCAACTTTATAATTTGGCAAAATGCGTCTAATTTATTTTGTATTTGATTCGTCGGGGTTTATTCCTCTAGACTAATATTTTGATTGTAAAAGAAGCTATTAGTTCTTTAAGTCTGGTAATTATATTAAATTATGTTAAATAGTACAGGATTAGGTATACCCTCTTAGACAATTGGCAATAAATTCTTGTAAATTATGGAAAAGATAGACAAATTGCTTTGTTGTTGCTGTTTTTAAAGCATACATGTTTTATAAATGCTTTTTGTGTGCAACTAAAACCTTGGCCATATTTGAAATGTAAAATACATGAAGGTCAAAAATTAAAAAGAAAATTTTTTGGTGAAATAATGTGATAATGGTCTGTAAACACCAAATACTAAATTATTGCTTATTAGTAAGAATAATTTAATCTAATGTTTCTTTTATTATTACATTTTTACTTTCTTACATAAAAATTAATTTTTTATTTTTAACGTTCAATTGAATAGTCCCCCATTTTTGTTCAGATTCTTTTTCAGAATGAATAGTCTTAATTCCTTTATAGAGGATAATTTTTACCAAAAATTTCATGTTGATATCACTTTTGATGTTTGATTTACATTTTTTTTATTTCAACCCCCCTTAACCCCCGATTTTGTTCACAAATTTTCACAGACTACTGTATGAAGAGTATAATAATATCCATCCCTTCCCCACACAAGCTCAGTAGGCCTTAGGGGTTGAAATTCACTCGTAAGAGGGTGAATTATGGAGAGTATTATTATTTCAATTAATTCCTGGGATCCAATGTCTCATTTTCAAGTTAAACAGTAAAATCACCTTTAGACTTATTGGTTAGTGTTCAGGGTTGGAAAAAACTTGGGTTTTTGGAAAAAAAAACCAACCTGGCGGGTTTTTTGAGTTTTTATGGGTTTTTTGGGGATTTTCAGTTTTTTCTTTAGATGTGATAAAATTTTACAAAAATTATGACTTTTATTGCAAAAATAATAAAAAAAATGTGCTCATAAAATTAAGCAAGCAACTTGACATAAATAAATACACTTGGCATCAGTGCATCAGCACCTGCACACGTCTCTTTTTTTATTTCTCTATACTTATACCTTATTTAAAATAAGTGTTTTGTTAGTTTAGTTTCTTTATTTACCTACTACTTACTTCGTTATTTATGCTAGTTTTTGTTTTTATTCAGAAATAAATAAATATATGTATATGACGTTCATTCAACTGAAAATTTGCTATTTTTGAAAAACCCAATAATAGTGGGTTTTATAAATTGAAAAAACCCATTAAGTTTTATAACATGGAAAAATTCTATGCCAACCCTGTAAGTGTTACACTATTGGTAGTTAAGTTCCTAATTGTATATTCATTTTTCTTAAATAAGGTTGTGTCATTCTTTTTCATATATTTTATAAAAAAAAGGTAGGTAAATATAAGTATTCTTCTTTGGACCCCTAGAAAAGGGGCCTTGACAATACCGATGTAATAATAATAATAATAGGCATAAATAGGTGTTAAAAAAATATGGCGGATGCGCTAGTAGTTTACAAATCGATTCTACACACTAATAATTCATTTTTAAGTATATTTAATCACAATAACTAAAAAATATATTCAGAATTAGTTTGACAAAATTGTCGCTTATTTTGAGTGACCAAAATATGAACTGTGCAGTGTTCTTACTAGGTAGAAAGGATATGAAATATATTCCTTCAGTTGAATGCAATGGAATACTTTTTCGCTTTTGTAGTCTGTGCGTAGATAAGCTAATATCCATGTAGGTGTGGAAAAAATAATTTCTAAAATTTCTACTTTTTACTATCAATTTTTTATATAAGCAAGTTAGCTTAGATTCGCTTATTTACGATTCCAGAAACTGTGGTTAAATTTACTGTACATATTTTTGTTACACCCTGTATGTGAGTGACGATTTTTATTAGCACGATACATATAGCCTATATTCCGGCCAATTTCGATGGGATTTTTAAGGGAGTACTTTATAGGATGTCGTTTTTGTAATTTTTGGTATATTTTTGTTATTTATGATTGGAAAAGAAAATTCTTCAGACAAAAATTTTTCGTTATGTTATTATTTATCATTTTTGTTATATACATGATGTTCCTAAAATGTACCGTATTGGAGATATTTAATAAAAAGTAGAACATCATTATGTTTTTAATGTTTTAACCGGGATCTAACTTTAGTAAAAAGTCATTTGTTGGGGACAAATCGGATATAAACGCGAAAACAAAACAATTTTGGTTTATAACTTATTGTTTTTAAATTTTAATTGTCACGGATCTATCAACCAATTTTTTCGCAAAAAGAAAATTTACTTCTTTATTTCAGTACCTGTTATATAATAATAGCAAAAATACATACCTATACCTACTTTGGAATAAATTGAGATGTCAACATTTTGATCCCTTTTGGTAATAAGAAGTAAATAAATGCAAGTAAAAAATAAAATAGGTACCTAAATAAAAACTTATACATCTATAGAATAAACATCTTTAGAAAGAGTTCAAAAAAGGTTGCAAAATAATAAGGTTATGCCCCTGCAGAGTACAAACATTTCTAATTTTATTGAATTTTAAAGAGGTTAGGTTTATCATTAATAAAATTCTAACTCTATTTTAAAAACCATTGAGTCAACTTCATCAATTAACTAAACAACCATAAAAATTTTAAATAATACGATTTAAAATATCAAAAAACTGAAGAAAACACTACAAATACCCAGAAGCAAAATCGTTTTACCAATTAAAATACTCACATCACTAATATAATTCAAGGATAACATGATGTACAAAAAAATTTCCAAAAGTCCACAAAAATTAACTAATCTAAAACCAGTCCTGTAGTGCCGCGAATTTTATAATAATCCGTATTTGTTTATCAGAAATGTCAAAACACGAACGAACCCGACGCCATCTCACATTCAACTGCACAGTGCACACTCTTCACACGCTAGATTGGGAGAGATTCTGCGACTACCACCGGACAGTACCGGACTCGGTAATAGTTCATTTTGTGGGCATTCGCTTCTTATAATGGCCCAACCAAGTTGTTTGTGATCGATTCACATTGGAGATGTATCTTCCTCAACTGGCGAACTATTTTTATATGGTTCTGAACGTTTTCAATACTTATGGCTTTGGTCGTGTTTCGTTGGGGTCGGTAAGGTCATGCACTGTGTGTAGAGGTAGTGTAGGTATTTAAGGGATGGAAAATTTTTAGTTTCTTGGGTAAATAAAACATACCTACCTATTTAAATTACCTGTAATAAAATTATATTTTGAAACGCCAACTTATAGAGAAAGAAAACATTGAAGATGTCCCAGTTAATATTCGACTTATTTAACAAGATAAAATTTTTAAAAATATTTTACTCTTGCTGTAATAGTACCTATATTATATTACGAGTGAGGAAAGTGACATTTTTCACACGAGTGTGAAATATTGTCGCACGAGGCACAAGCCGAGTGCGACTATCACACGAGTGTGGAAAATCACTTTTCACACAAGTGATGTACAATATTTTTCCTACGACCACAAAATAATTTCATCAAAAAATGTAAAAATCAGGTTATTACTATAATAATTAAAATGTATTTAAAAAAATAATCGTATTTATTAAATTTTCATATTTTCTAAACAAAAAGAAAATAAAAAACAAAAAAAAATAAAAAAACAATTCTGTCCCCGCAAGGATTTGAACGCGGTCGCTCGCCAAGTCTCAAATGGCAAAGTTAATAAAGTTCGATACTATACCGAGCCAATAGCCCTTGCGTTAATTGAATAATCTAATCGGTTGTGTTTAACCAGAATAAAAAGTAAACAACTTACAATTAGTTATTTTAATAATAATTGTTAAAGATAAATATCTAGGATCTAATTTACAACAATTTAAATAATTTAACAATCCTATCGATTTTAGTATTAATATGGACATTACATAGAAAAAATAGAAATGATGCGTTTGACATTTTGTGACAGGTGCTGCGGAAAGTAGCATATTCGTACACTTTCCATAGGACTATATAGTGTGATATGTCACTTTCCTAAGTCGTCGTAGGAAAAATATTATACCTATCAGTCTCTTGTTAAACCAACCTTAACATTTATTTTCAAATAACACCCAACTTTTTTTTTTTGTTAATATGATACCTAGATATAAGGTACAATATTGACCATGCTTATATATACTTATTCGCTTTTTTAGACTTTAATTGGAATAGATATTTTAGTGTTAAAGTTAGAAAACACCCATATTTAATTCATATATTCTTTATTGGAGGTGCTAACAATAGGGGTTGATTTACAACTTTATTTCAAGTTTCTAGGGGATGGTTTGACAAAAGGTTGATTCAGAATTCACGACGCTGTAAAATAGTTTTTCATCCCATATACAGGATAATCAGACGAAAACGAAACAGCAGTATATTTTCAGGAACACTGCATCAACATATTAGACAAACACACTGGAGTACGCTAATTTTTGATTAAAGGAGGACATACTTCTATCATATCCCCAACTGTCACATACTCCTACCCTCCGCCACTTTAGCCAATACAAATTTTAAATATGGAAAATACCCAACAAACAAATTGTGTAGGGGAATAAAAGGCCCAATAAGTGTTACCCTGCAATCGTAATGATGGCCATTTAACTTTTATATTTAAAAGGCCGGACTATACAGGTCACTATGGCCGACAGCCAAGGGTCGAAGTCACTTTAGCCATCAAATCAAGTTAATATGCCTTCATTTTACCTTTATTGTCTAGAATAAATCAAATAATGCAAACCGTAAAGGCACAAGAGACTATTGATCAAAGATCGTTTTATTCTAATGCAAATTAATTATAAATTTAAAAAAAATCATTTATAAAGTATTGGTATTGAAACTACCAAAAGAACAAAGTAAGTTGAAAAATTTAAAATAATGGTAATATAATTTTAAAAGGTACTTACCTTAAATAAATAAGATCATAAAATTTTTCTAATTTTGACATGTATATAAAGTGACATTTTTGGTAATAAGTGTCCAAATGATCTACTTTACGTAAACAGTTGCAAAATGTTGAACATTTATGAAACTGGTTTTGAAAAATGTATTGTCATTAATTGAAAAAAGAAAACAAATAAAAATAAACCTTTTTTGTTTTAAAATCAATAATATACAATATTATTAAAAGTTTATATCAAAGAAAGGCAGGTTGACTCGCAAAAATGTAATTTGGTTTAACTTGCCAATAATGTTGTTTTGGTACTTATTTTTAATTCTAAATCAGCAGTGATATATTCAAATATTAGATTTAATTTAAAATATGTTATTTAAAGTATATTTAATTTAAAATATTACATTTTTTTTTTTATTTGAAGTACTTAATTTATAATGTATTTAATTTGAAATATTTGATTTAAGATATTCAATTTAAAATATTTAAATGTTTAATTTACGTTTTTTTTCTCATCCTGCAGGCATCCCTTTGCTTCCGCCTTAAGGATTCTGACAAGTTTAGGATCCAGCCTGCTGTCCCTCCTCTTGGAGTTCGCATAACGGCATTAAGAGGCAGATGGCTTATTGTGCCACCATTTTGATGCCCTAATCCTTCCCACGCGATCATGCATTCTTCCATTCATTCTAAGGTCCAAGTGGGATCCAAGCTGTACGAATTCGGTCACCCATTGGTCAAATTGGGGTCTTACTGCTAGGGACTTGTGATAGATGTTTCAAATACCTTTCACAGCACTCGGCTCCCCGGCAATTTATAAAGTTTAATATACAGTGAGCACCATAAGTCTTACCCCCCTATCTAACTCATTACTGGAGTCTTGTTAGGAAAATCGCCGAGACACATCGATTTTTGTTTCCTACAATGTACATTTTTGTATGAATAGTTTACCCTTAATTTCATCCCTTACTGGAGGGGAGCAACCCTTTCGAAAAATTTAAATGGCATGGGGTGGTGAGTGATAGCTCATTAGAAAGAGGGTTTTATTCTCTATTCAACCATGTAAAAAATTTTGAAATTTGCTTCATTAATTCTCGATTAATTGTTGTTTCAAAATAACGGAAATTAACGTAGCACACTCATCTTTAGAATTAAAATTCGGCCTTGCATGATTTCGGTTTTGGATTAGATGTGAAGTAAGATTTTTTGCCATTAGAAGGTCACTGTTAGTTTAGTTGCTTTCCTATTTTGTGAGGTTTTGTTATTTTTAAACATTAATAAATCAACACGTAATGAAGCAAATTTCAAATTTTTTTGCACGGTTGAATAGAGAATAAAACCCCCTTTCAAATGAGCTATCACTCATCACCCCATGTCATTTAAATTTTTCAAAAGGGTTGCTCCCCCTCAGTAAGGGATGAAATTAAGGGTAAACTAATCATACAAAAATATACATTGTAGAAATCAAAAATCGACCTGTCTCGGCAATTTTCCTAAGAAGACTCCAGTAATGAGTTTGATAGGGGGGGGTAAGACTTATCGTGCTCACTGTATAGTAAACAATCAGTTCTAAAGTTCCAGGAACTTATCCGTCATGGATCAGAAACTAGGATATTTAATTCCTTGGAATTCTTCAAACAAATCAAATGAAATAATGAAAATTATTTTTTGACCACCAAAGTGAAAACAAATTTAATGAAAAGTAAAGTTTTTACTTTGGGGGTTCAAAAATAATTTTCAATATTTCGTAGGGGTAGTTTTAGAATTTGTTTGGGGACGTTCAAGAATTTAATAAATGTTTAAAATAAAATAATCAGAATAAAATTTTTAAAATAAAATAAACTATATCAATGTAAAACGGTGAAATATATTAAAGAAACTATATACTAGCCATACATGCTTCTATGATATATTTATTTTTGTTAGTTTTACATGTAAGTGTGTATATTTATCTGAAAAATTGTAATTGGAAAATAAATATACAGAGTGTCCCGAAATTAGACGGTCCTATTTCAACAACATAATCTACATCCTAAAATAAGAGCAAAAGTTCATATAAACATAGGTCCGAAAACGTTTCTTTTCCGAGATACAGGGTATTAAAAGTGAAGTCCTGATGACACTCTTTTGTAAATATTTTCTAAACTTTTAAAGATAACTAAGTGAAATTTGGTACAAATGCTAACCAACTTCGCTCTATCTAATGGACTAAACCCCAGTTTTTGATCATCTTCATAGGTGGGTAAATTAGGGGGGGCTTAGGGTAAAATTGCCCAGTTTTTTTTGTTGACAGTTTTTACCATTTTTGACTATAAAATTTGGAAAATCAATGTTTTCTTTACAATAAAGTTACTACTGTTGCATCTCGCTAGGACGCACCATTTTCAAGAAAAAATCATTTGAAAATTTCATGATAAGTTATTCGAAAGCGTAAACAATAATTAGTAGGCCTGTGAAATCAAAAATTTTATTTTTTTTTACTTTGAAAAACCGGTGACTAAAGAAATTTTAAAAAATATTTACAAAAATATGCCATCAGGACTTCAGTTGTAACACCCTGTATCTCGAAAACGAACGTTTATATGAACTTTTATTCCTATTTTAGGATGTAGATTATGCTGATAAAATATGACCATCTAATTTCGGGACACCCTGTATATTAATTTATTTTCATGTAATTTAATAAATTCATCAATAATTGCTATTCTATTTGATTATTTTTCTCTCTTATTCAAAGTAAGTATATTGAATATTAAAACTAAATGCAAAAATTCAGTTAATACCATTTACTCACTTGCAAAACTGGGAAGCTATATATTTATATTTTTTAAACTACATGTTTTATAATTTTTATTCGCTGTGTGACACCTACAAAAATTTTAAATTATTTCCCAACTTCTATTGTGACTAATACTGAAAGTGCACAAGCATTCTTTAAGAAAATTATTAAGTTTTTTGCAGATTACTCAAAATTACTTTTAATGTGAATACAGAGTATTGCAAATAACCTAGATATTAGCTGGCCAAAAATCTATGTAACTTCCAGTAAATTAAATAAAGAAAAGTTATACAAAATAATTTATTTTAAATTTTTCACTTCTAAGACATCATAAAATACAATTTAAAATACTTAATTACAAAAGATTGCCCAGACATCTATACATTATTGTCATAGTACGAAACTATCCAACCTTAACTTTCCTTCATTTTCAATAAGAAACACCAGATCAGCCAAAGTTTGATCACAAATAGACTCCTCACCTCTATCTGACATGGGCTTGTACTTGAAATGTTCAGTAGATGGAGGGCATTTAAAATTAGGTCCAAAATTTATGGAAACTGTAACATTCCTGTGCAATGAAATAATTGGATAGTAAGACCCTTGGTAAATACTTTCGAATGCACTACCCTGGCATTCTCCATTTTTAAAAAACATTATTTTACTCTTGGGTAAAGGAATGAGATTTTTCAACCTCTCCTGTACATTATCTTTATCTTCATAGTAAAGATGGCTTTTAAATTTTACCAAAGGTCTATCTTTGTATGTGTTTGGAATTAGTTTAGTTTTGCTATTTACTGGTAATTCAATTAAAAACCCAACAGTGTCACCTTCTCCATAACCTTCACCATAATGCTTTCCTGCAGATTCATGAAACCTGGTACCTTTTTTAGATCTCCATGAATACCCAAACTTGTCATAACCTAAAGGAGCTTGTAAATTAGCATAGTCTTGTCCCCAGCCCATACGTGTTGCTGACCCTTCAGGCATTTCTTCAATGGTTGCCTCCCAATACCATACACCTTTAGTAACAAAATGAGTAGCTCTAACTGTGGAATACCCCTTTTCACCAGTAACAGCCAAGCGGTCTTCAGATATTTTAAGCTGTGGAGCTCTGTCATGTAATGCAAGTAGCACAGTACTAGGTATACATGTACGATATAACCAGCCAGGAATGGGTTTTCCAGCCCAATCTGAACTTTCATCAAATTCCTGTCTAAATGGAGCATGTGGATCAGGTTCTGCTAACAAATATCTATAACCATCTTTATTAAAGGGATGGTCAAGTGGGTAACCATGTGCTGGAAGCTTTGCAGCACCTAAATCAAATCCTCTACCTTTCTTACCCTGTACACCCAATTCTCCAGGAAATTTTCTTTTGGTATTCCTAGATTTTACCCCACCTTGCATAGGAATATGTTGTATACCCATATCTGTTACTTTCAACAAGCCACCTTTTATCATAGCTTCATAATTTGGCTTGATTTGTGTTAAATCTGAATTTAATAACCCATACATATGGCTACCATTTGTGCTATCTTCAAATACAAATAATATATGTATATCTTTAATTAAAGCTTTCGTTACCGTAAAATGCCAACTTTGTGTTACTCTTCTGGAAGTTGTAGTAAGTGCCTCCCAGTGGTATTCAATATAAGGTATGATTTCTTTGTCCTTACTGAATGTTAATCTGCATGAACCCTCTTTAAAACTTGTCTGTTGAAGGTTGGCTATTGCCGTTACACACATTTGCTGGGTTTGCGCTTGACTTTTCTTAAAACTTTCTAGACCAGTTGGGGAACAATTTTTACACAGGAATATGTAGTTAGACATAAATGGTACCAATTTTCCAAGTTGGTAACCAATGCACGATTCATGAAACCATCTATTGCAGTTTGCGCAAAGCAATTCTATAATGTTCAAATTCCTGTCTTTGCCGCAGTAGCAAATACCTGCTTGTTCAACTTTCTTATCGGATTCGAAAGTCTTTTGTTGATCGGATTTGTTTAGATCTTCGGAAATATCGGATTTGTTTATAAATTCGTCAGTCTTACTTAGATCCTGTTCTTCAGACATGTTTGCAAGTTTCACTCACTGGTCTCGTTTATAACTTGATTTTTGGTTTGTATTTTGTATAAATGTATTTACTTTTTCCGGGAATAAACTTAACCTCAAAAACACAACTGGAAACACAGAACTGAAATTAGGAGAATGGATTTGATGTCAATTAGGCATTCCAAACAAATGAATTACCAGTGGGCAGGTTTGATATATCTAAGGGTGGCGACATATGGTGTATTCTATCTACTTTACGTAAAATCATGAATAATGGAATACCTTTAAATATTTTATGTCAAACACAATAAAAATAATATTTAAAAAACCCACCTATACATTTTTTCATAAATTGGCAGGCTTGGCGAGTACTACTTTGAATAAAAATAGCGTCCAAGTTGCAAGACTATGTCGCTACCCCCTTAAATATACAAGAATTTCCCACTGGCACCTATTGTTTGACAGGTCGTTGGAATGCCTAATTCTTACTCAAAATGAGATTCAAAATGAGGTTTGAGTTTGCGCAGTCAGTATCTATTAGACATGTCAATTGTCATTCGTGAAAGTGATTTGAAAATTAAATGTTAATTTTATTCATTTAAATACAATTTTTGGGACGATTAACCGCGTATTGTTCAACCCGCCGTTAATTTTTTTCTGAAAAGATTGTTAGATATATTTTTTCAAATTATATCCTTGTTTGGCACCTACTGCGCAAACTCAAAAAAAATTTCAATTTTGTTCCCCTTGTAGGAACGTTTTTGTAGAGTGTCAAATCCATTCTCCTAATTTCAGTTCTGTGACTGGAAATGAAATGTTTTTTTATAGTATTGTTCATTGATTATGCTTTTTATTTAACTTCGACGTATTATGTGTTGCCTAACAATCTAATCCCGTTATTACGTCTTTACAGATTTACAATTTACTAATTTATGTATAAAAAAAAATACGCATTTACCACATATACAGCCGTGGTAATGGTAACGTCACCGTAGAACCTAAACACTAGTAACAGAGACAACATTGTCTCTGCTAGTAAACACATTTATTTACGTTTTGCTTTTGTTGTTGCCTTATACTTTTAGAATTATTTTGGTGTGTCTGTCTGAAACTTTAATTCGTTTCTTTTTTAATGTTAAATACTGTAATGTTTATTATATTAAAGATAAAATAGAAAGAAACAAATATTAATTTCGTTACTTTCCAAAAGGAATGATCCAGTTATCTAAACAAACACACATGGCTGGCAAATTCAACTTAAAAAAAAACTCAGTTGGTTTGGTTCTGTTTATCTTCATTTCCTTCAAAAGTGTGCCTCGACACCTCTGTTTATCAAAATGTTTTATACAATTGGGAAAAGTAGTTAGGTTCCACCTAATATTTTACAAATTTTATGCTTTATTTCTAATGAATACATTTTTCCCATTTATGTTAAACTTAGAGGGGGTCTAATTACTGCGTATAACTTCCAAATTACTGAAAATTAGTTTTTCTAGTAACTCTACAATACATAATCCCCTTTAACCACAACTTCATTGGAACACCCTGTGTAAAAAGTATTTTTTTTACTGAAGTTTGTAATTATTTTATAATAATCAGTTTTATCTATATTACTTGTATGGCGAACAATTGCTTTAAGGATATTTCTATTGTTTTATAAGAAAGATTAAAAATAAAATTAAAACTCCGATAAGTTCTATTTATTATTTTATTTTAAAAATATTTACCGTACTCTAGTATGCAAAGGATAACGTTTATTTTCAATTAAAACCAATAAAAACACTGCCAGTACATGGCAGTATTTAAACGTGAGAGAGGTTCTGCGATGACATCACAAATAGACAATTGGCAATAGCGCACTTTACAAACCGATTGACAGTTTTTGGTTGTATGTGATGATGGACAGAGGCCTTAAATTAGAATAACAAGGAAGAAAACAAAGACGAAGAAGGAAGAGGAACGTCGAACGTCACATTCTACATTATTTGAATTTTAAATTGTTTTTCTGTTACCTTTTTATTCGATATTTTTTATTTTTTTTTTGTGTGTTATCGGCTTCAACTGCTAGGTTATTTCGCATCGTGTCCTGTGTAGGCTTTTAATATTTTTAAGTAGTATGAATAATACAAGCTTGTACAATACTGTGTTGTTGGAAAACATGGAAAATAGTGATACCTCATGGAGTGATATTAAATGTGACTGGTCCACTTTTTCGTTTAAAGATGAATTAATTGCCAGAGAATGTTACATAAAAGAAACAATTCAGCGAGTAAAAGAATCTGATTTACTTTCCTTAAAGGAATGTGAAGGTAGGCGTCTTATTAGTAGTCGACGCCTTGCTTTATTATAATAACAAAGAATTAAAAAAAGAAAGCCAATGATATCACATACTTTCCTTAAAAAAGTAAGATAATTATGGAAGAGTCAAGGTACTTGTACCTTCAGCTAAAAGGGTTTAGTTTTCATTAGTTTTAGTTTATTTGAATTCTATATAATTGTGATGAGGCCTGAAATTGATTCAATTTGGGTTTTTGTTTAATTACTAGTTTTGACTTAGGTTAGAGGGATGTATAAACAGTTTTAACACATTGTGTGCCATGCCTTTTATATATGAAAAACTGATATTTCTGCATAGGCCATCTTTCATTTTCTTAAGACAGGCATATGTTTATATTCACAGCAATGCCTCTGCCAAACATACTACAAAAATTGGTTCCAAATAAAATAGAAAGGTAAAAGTTTGCTGGTGGAATGTACATAATGTTTCCATTAACATATTTTTTATTATCAAATAATACTACAAAAAAGAGAAAAAATGTAAAAAGAATAAAAAGTTTATTTGTGTTTCTAATAAAAACACAATAAACAAACACATTTGGAGTTGTTTAGCACACATTTCGCAGTAGTTAATGTAGGTATAAATCATTTTATGATGTTGTATTTTGTACTGAAACCATTTTTAGCCTTTTTTGCGTTTTACTCCTTTTTTTGTTATTATATTTGATTGTGTTCATATTTAAAAGACATGGCTTCATGCAGAAAAAATACACTATCTTTCCTGGTCACATCCTATATAAAATTTAAAAAATTCAAATATAATAACAAAAAAGGCTAAGCCTCTAGTTTCAATGCAAAATACACATAAATACAAATCTTGTAAAATAGCAGTTTGGCCCCCACTGTTAATTCTCTGATGACTATCATGACATGCAATGTGTTAAAAGTTTGTAATTATTATAACAAAAAAATTAATTCATTATTTTCAGGCTCCAATTTTGAGGAAGACTTGGAAAATTTTGAAAGAAAATATTGTGATTCGAAGAAAGAAAATTATGATATTTTGAAACAATGCGAAGAAGCAAGAAGGACACGTGACGAATTAATAGAAAGCTGCAAGAAGCTAGAATCAACTTGTGGAGAATTAAGTGATATAATAAATAGTTTAGAATCAGGTATAGACAGAATATTAAATTTTAAATTAATATGTTAATACATAATTTAATTTTAGAAATAAGCAAGATAACTTCAGATTACAAACTTCATAAAGCAAGTTATAAAACAGCACTGCAGCATTACAATAATTTTGATTTTAATGTAGTTATTGTTGAAAGCTCAGATGATGATATATTTGTAGCCAATATAACATTTAAATTTGCCAAACATATAAAGCCTATTAAGGTTGTTGTCAATCGAAATGAAAGAAAAATAATAGGTACAGTAATTATATTGTCCTATTTAGAAAGCATTTTTAATACATAATCATAACATTTTCTTATATGATATTTTGATTGTTTCAGAAATAGATTCACATGGTTTGATGGATACACAAAATTTTGAAGATGTTGCTTTTGATCCACTATTTTTGTGTAATTTGAGACAAAAGGTTTTAGATAGTGTTAGTAGTTAATTAAAATTTCTTATTTCCTGTTCTGAATATTTTAATAAAAATCTTATTGTTAAGTTTTCTCATTTGATAAATTATGTTTTGTAGTTAATTAAAATTTCTTATTTCCTTTTCTGAATATTATAATAAATATCTTATTGTAAAGTTGGTTTGATTAAAGTTTTCTCATTTGATGTATTGTGTTTATCAAAAATCTCAAATTCAAGGGAACATTCTCAAATAATGTATCATCAGGTGGTATCAATAAAAGAATTACCACAATATTGAATATTATCCTTTTGTTTAGGTTCAGGCTTTTGTCACATTGGTAAATATTAAATGGTAATATTTCAAAAACTTATTTAATTATTTTAGTACTAATAAACTGATATTCTGTACTTGTTTTTCTATCGATTCCTTAAGTGTTTCCTAGAAAAAATGATAATGTTAAGGAACCAAAAACTCATTTATTTGAATTTTACTTATCACAGTATACAGAGCCTCTACTATTTCATAGGAATGACAGAGTATTGATATGTCTTAAAAGGTAAATAGAAAGTTTGTTAAATTGGACAAAAGTTGCGCAATTATGTGCTTATTAAAATAGTGCCAAGAAACCTTTGATATCTACAGGGAGATATTGAACAAAAAATGAAAATTATTTCATTTTTGTCCGATATTTTGAATTTCTCTGCAGATATCAAAGGTTTCTTGATGATTTCTTGGCACCATTTTAATGTGCACAAAACTGCGCAATTTTTGTCTAATTTAACCAACTTTCTATCTGTTACCGTTTAAGAAATGGCAATACTGCATGTCCCTATAAAATAGTAGGAACTCTACGTTTTCTTTGAATAATAATTGACATTTACATCTTTACACGTAGGTAACAATTTAAAAACGCTTTGTGAATACAGATGAATTTATTTTTCTGATTGTATGAATCAAATTTTTACAATCTATGATTCTCTTATTAAAAAAAAAAATGTAAAAAGAATTGTTATTGGCAATTATTCCCTCCGAAAATTCGGCTTGTAGCCGCCCTTGGTATGAATCCATAATTAGGCATTTCAAACAAAATGGTTGTTCGTGAGTAGGCAACCCTGTGGCCCTGGTGATTTGACACGGTCAATGCTATAGATATTTGCTGCGTTTGAGAATCCACATCGGATGCATCTGAGATGTAAAAAATCTTTGATCACGTGATGCAGTATACGTAAATGTAATGGGACAGATGTGTCCGATGTGGATAAAAAAACGCCCGAGATGTAAAAAATGCATCCGATGTGGATTCTCAAACGCAGCAAGTGAAAACTCACATCCGATGCATTTTTTACATCTCGAGCGTTTGTTTATCCACATCTGTCCCATTATATTTACGTATACTGAATCACGTGATCAAAGATTTACTACATCTCATCCTGCGTTTGAGAATCCACATCGGATGAATTTTTTACATCTCGAGCGTTTTTATTTACATCAGACACATCTGTCCCATTACATTTACGTATACTGAATCACGTGATCAAAGATTTACTGCATCTCAGATGCATCCGATGTGGATTCTCAAACGCGGCATCAGATGCATCCGATGTGGATATTCAAATGCCGCGTTTGAGAATCCGCATCGGATGCATTTTTTACATCTCGAGCGTTTTTTTATTCACATCTGTCCCATTACATTTACGTATACTGAATCACGTGATCAAAGATTTTTTACATCTCAGATGCATCCGATGTGGATTCTCAAACGCGGCAAAAGGCGGCAAAGTTAGAAGTTTATATTTTTTAAATTTGACTTTTGAGACCTAAATTTGAAATCTAAACAAAAATTAAACAAACTAATCACTTTTATATTCATGCTAGCATAAACAAAGGATAAATTGACAAACTTGGCTTCACAGAACACTTACTCTCTGGCATAGAACGAACATCTCATTCACATCTCATTTCAAATCGAAATGTAAAAAATTCAATCTGAACAGGTATATCTGGGTTAAACAAACGCAGATGTAGACGTAGTAGATGTGTCCGATTTTGATAAACAAACGCTCGAGATGTAAAAAATAGGTCTTTTCCTTTGCATCGAAAGTGTAGCACTGAGATACATCACTTCTGAAAATATTGTTCCATCCATACAATTTGTATAAATGGAACGATATTTTCAGAAGTGGTGTAGCTCAGTGCTACACTTTCGATGCAAAGGAAAAGACCTAATGCATCGGATGTGGATTTTCAAGCGCGGCATACATCGTTGACCCTGTTGGAGCCCACAGGAAGCAATTTTGACAGATCATTGGAATGCCTAATTAGCACTACAGATTAGTGCTAATTAGGTATTAAAAAAGATGGTTGCCTTTGGGCATTGATATGGCAACCCTGTGATCCTGGTAGATTTGAGAGAGTCAATGATAGATAGTTATATAGATTGATCATCCATGTTTTTTAAAATAAACATAAGGTTTGCTCTGTTTACTTCAGAAATATGTTGAAAACATAAGTAGTGTAAGTAAAAGTGGCAGCATATCATTCCTAGGCCCGATAAAGCACTTTTTAGAAATGATGCTGTTTGCGAGGCTGCACTTTTTAGAAGATATTTTCAGATATTATGAGACCCTTCTTACCGATGGTACTGCAAAATAAAAAGTGGAAGGCAGAAATTAAAGGATTTAACAATCTCCCTTTATGCTTGTATTATAACAATAAAAAAATCTGTTAACTGTGTTTTATTTTGCTCTTAAAACTATATTTAGGTATAATTAAAAAAAAAATAGCCACAAAATTGTATTTTCACCATTTAAAAAACCTTTTCGAATTTCGTCGTACCTAATTTGCATTTTATATAGATAAAACAAATTAATTTATCGATTAAAATATGTAAGACTTAAAAATAAATAAAACAGTATTTTCTGTGCAAAAAATAGCAATAAACAAGTTTATTTTTATTATTTTAACAAAATTATGTATTACCATAGGAACCCATATATTTTTAACATCACTTGCAACATTAGCGCCTCTGCGGTGAATTGTAAAAGCTCAATTAGCGTATAGGTATTTCGAGTATAGCCGATTCGTCTTCTTATCTCTAGTCTTCATAGTTTTTGATTTTGTTTATTTTGGAAAGTAGTAAACGTGTAATGTTCACTAATTTTTAGTATTTTTATTTTACAATTTTATGAAACTGTATTTTTATTCTACATTTAAATGATTGTTTAACATAATTTTTTATAAAAAATGTGTTTTTTTTTTTAAATCAGAAACTGATTTCAAGTAAAAACAGATGTGGGAAAAATTGTGAGAATTTTAACATTTTGTGTGGGAAAAAATTGAAATGTTTCTCTGTCAACCGGAGAAATTAAATAGTTACATTAACAATGTCATTTTAATCTTCGCTTAGTACCTAATTTAAACTTCGTTTAACAGAACAGTGGAATTGGTCGCCTTAATTATATAGGTAATAATAGTTTATAGGAGAATGTTTTGTAGAAAACATATTTTTTGGACATCTTACATTATTATTCTCTAGAAAAATCTGGATGCGAGGAGAGAAAGACAAATATTTACCTCCTTTGTGGTGCGTTTATTACCAGAATAAACTTTTAGAACTTTCCCTGTATACATATGATATTTGTCACCCACCAAGTTCAACATTCCTTTCATAGTTTCTCAGATTTTAAGGATATCAAATTGTTGTAATATTATATTATGTATTGTATTCTTGTAAATAATATATATTAAAAACATTTTATTTAATTAAAAATCATAATAATAGGTAGAAGGTATTGTTTGAGAGACAATTTTTTAAATGAAACATCAAAGTCAGTTCAAGTAAATGGGACAGCCAGCACAAACAGTATATTTATAAGGAAATGTCACTTTTAAAATGCATCTCCTTTAACTTCAACCAATAGCACGTTACAAATCGGTCGAGAAAACGGCTTTGTTAAATCTCGGTTGGTTTTTAAATTTGGCGCGCTAAAACCTGTCGAAGTGATTTTCATCACGTGACCCACGCTCGCCGCCATTTCGCCGAATAAACAACGACCGGGAAGGTTCTGAGTGTGGTCTTTAACGTTTTCTGTTAAGTAGATTGTGTAATTAAATAATAAAAATGTCTGAAGTGGATTCAGTAAATACCAATAATGCTGTAAATGAAGAAAATAGTCAAGTAAGTACAATTAATATTATGTTTCTATAAGAAAATTCGCGAAACAACTCTGCAATGTGCACGTAATAGATGTATGTACTTAGATTGTGAATCTATACGCATTGTTACAAACGTTATGTCCCATTCTAAGGACTGTTAACATTGTGATAATCAGTTTATTAATAATTTCGTTTTTGCACCACTTTTAATAACGTTTTCGTATTGAAAAACCATTTTGGGATATTTAAATTGTATTAAGCATAGTTTTGGAGGGCTATTTTTGTAGGATTGTTGTAAAGATGCATTTTCTTTTACCTACGCCGTGATGTCCGAATCGAGAATACACATACGTTTAGCGTGGTGTCGCTCTTTTTCAAATGACTTTCTTTTAATGCATTACGTCTTAGCATAAACCAGTAAGTTCGTCGAAATTGGAGGGAAAATTCAAGTTCTTCAAATACAATTTTAAAATTGTATTTAAGAAATCCTTTTTGTTTTCAGAATGAAAAAAGTACTAAGGGTAGAAAATCTAAGTCTCCTAGGCTGTCTACAATCGAAAGGGCCAGAGAAGAAAGCGAGGCGATAACTAAGGTCTGTGACCCCTGAATATGTAAATATTGTCAAATTATAAGTGATTTTGGAAAATGTGTTGTGTTTGGGGCTTTTTTTTGGTATATTTTGCTAATTAATCTATGCTAAATACAGTAATATGATAAGTTGCATTATTTATGAAGAAAAAAAAGATGGTTTCTTGTAATTTTTAACAAACCCCAGTTTTTCCATCTATATGCATGCATTTACATCTTTTTTATTCCAATTTTGTACATTTCTATTGAGAAAAATATTCAAATTTTAAACTTTTTTAGTATTTTTAAAATTGGAGCCACTTAACAGTTCAAAATTCTCTTTGTAAGTAAAATTGCAACAAGATTCCCAGTTTCTTACCTGTATTGGAAAAGCTGTTATGTCACCATTGGTTCACTTTTTGAAGCAGGTGTTTTTTTAAGATTTATTTACACAAAAACTGTTGAAAACTAAAAAACATTAATTCGATGCTTTTACAAGTTTATACTGTTGGATACATCATCAGCTGCATGGCAAAAAGACAATATGGTTTCTTTTGAAAGGATCCTCAAGTATGTAGGATATTCATTAAGTTATGGTAAAAGGTTTGCAAATATACCAAGAAAATTAAGGAAAACATACCATAACATTATTCTTTCATATTCCAGTGAGTTAATTTACCTAACATAACACAAAAAAACATGTTGAATGCTAGAAATGTATACTCATTATTTTTAAACTAGTGGCATTGTTTATTTCTGCCATTTTTCTCCATAATTACAGTTGCAATTTGACATGCAGCAATGAATTTTCACTTATTGCTATTTTCTGCAATTGCAAGAAAAATTACAGCAGCTGATCAAAAGGATGTTGGAACAAAGATGTGCAATATGAATTGCCAGAATTTTACTTACAGGCAAAGAAAATTGCTGTTAAAGTGGCCATTAGACATTTTGTTTTTTTTATTGTATAAATTGAGTATACAATAAAAAATTTAATTATTGGTTATATTTTAGTGTTTTTTTAATATTATTTTAGGGTATTTCATGGAGCAAAACTTTTATATGGCCTATGCTAGACAATCATTTTTTCTCTAAATTATCACTTTGATATTTGACAGATTATTTTATGTGAAAGTATGATTGAAATAATTATATTTATTTTTGTTAATAAAAAATTGCTGATGTTTGTAAAAAAGCTATTATTTTCTAAAAAAAAAACCATTTATCTAAAATTCTTTTAGGAACCTATTTGTGTTTTGTCCACTACATGTATCTTGACATATCCTACGTCATTGTATAGTGATCAAAAAGGACCAATAAAGATTTATTATTATTATTTAATGTATAAGATAATTCTTAAAAAAAAAAGATATTTGGATTATAAAAAATGTGAAAGAAAAAATTTCTTTTTAATTTTATGAGAAAATAAACAAAAAGTAAACATTTATAAGGTTTTTATAAATAGTAGCATAAAGGCTAGGCTACAACATACTACATATTTATTTCATATCACTTGAAAGACTGACTCCTAAAATATTACATTATTTGTAAATGTAACATAGATGGTATTTACTAGACAATTTCGTGTTTAGCAGGGTTTGGGACCTGAAGTAGAAGGACGGCGCAGGACGAGGTCTGCAGCTAAGGGCGTCACAGCTACACCGCCCCCTCCTGCTAAGAAGGAAAGAAAAAGTTCCAGTGCTGCAAAAAGTAAGTATCAAGGGTGGTCTCTTATTAAGTTATCTACTTAAATTTAGCTCTGTTTAAATAATAAATTTGCCGTTTCCAGCAAGGGGAAGGCCAAAGGTGGCAGCAAAGAAAAATGCAGAAGAAAGCAGTGACTCCCATGATGAAAAGTCAGAAACGTCAGTGACCGAGAGTGAGGAACAAGCAAAAAGTATCGATGAAACAAAAAGTGATGCAGACACAACCGAAACTAATTCTCACGATGACAAAGAAGAAACCGGCAATAATAATGCTGATGCAGACGCTACCGACTCTAAAGTGAGAATTTAATTTTATTATATATAAAAAAAAGTTTAACATTTATTTCATGTGGAATTAAGAGACATATTATATATCAGTATGAGTTAAAATATGAATTACATAATCACCAATTATCAGTATATTGATAAGAGTTAAGCTAATTGTCTAGTAGAATTTTTATTTCCTAATTTCAAATATTTGAGGTCAGAAGTCAGTAAAAATCAAATCTTAAACATCTTGTTCGTTTTACAATGCATTTATTTAAATTGTATTAGTTGCATTACAGAAAGTGACCTTCAAGGTTTCCTTATTGAAATTCCTGTTATTAACAAAAAAAAAAAAAAAAAAAAAATGCAATAATTATCAGCATATCGGAATTAAATAAATAAGATAAATTCGCTTCATATTAATATCTATTTTTAGTTATTCAGTTCAAGTACTTAGAGAAAGTAAGTTTTATGAATTGTAGTAGCTGTTGTAAGTATACTTGTGTACTTATTTAATTTGTAATTCATTATATATATTTTTGATCATATTTAAACAACAAAATTAAAAAACATTGATAATGACTCTTATGTTTATGAATTGTACAGTGAAAAACAAAAAAAAAAGTGTGTAGGTATTATTTATTTTTGTTGTAGCACCATTATGTTGAAAAATTATTTTAATACATTGTGTGAAACGAGTCTACAATTATGTGTTATCAATTTTTTTATATGAAATTTTGGATCTTCAGGACGACCACCAATTTTTTTTGCTCTTTTTGTTATAACAAAAAATGTATTTTTAATTCAATGATATAACTTAATTTGTTGTCCTAATTTATAACAATAAAATTGATGGTGGTCCAGAAGAGAAGAAATGTTTAGATAATTTGTTTTCATAGGAATAGTCTCCATTAATTAACTCAAACCATCCATTTTGGTTTTATAATGATTAGGTCAGGAAATAGAGAATTATTTACTTGTGAAAATTTTGAATAAAACTAAAAATTGGTATGTTTGTCCAATTCGATGTCCTTATGATCTCCTTTTAATTGCTACCTGGTTATCTGGCTTGCATTTTTTTAGGGGTGTTAAAAAATATGTTGTTGTTGTGAAGGGCCCCAACACACAAAAATTCATTCATTTTATATACAACCATATATTAATTTATCATTTGTGAACAGTTTTAACAATCATATTAGTAAAAATATACATTTTTGCCAAACTTGCTATTGGCCCTCTCCTACAACTCAATAGGGGTGACTAGTTCTGTCAAATAGAACCACAGTACTTTGTGACTTTAGGGGAACAAAGAACTGAACATTTCTAACCCTTTTCACCGATGATTGTTTACAAAATATCTATTAAAAATTATCTGAACAATTTAAATTTTAAATTTCTCCAAACTCTTCAGTTGTGGGTTAGAACCCTTCACAACTACAAACCCTGCACAAACGACTGGTTTGAAATGAAAAATTCTTGTTCAATCTTCATCTAGAGGATATTTGTCACAAAAAATCCTATGAGAGTACTACTCTAGTATTTATAGTTAACCCTCTAGAGCCTGCTGAAGAGAGGCATGTTTTTTCATTGCTATGTACTGCACTGCTTTCATTTTGACAGCACTATGGGCTGAACGGGTGGTGTTTGTAAATTTCCTCAAAATTATCCCTATTTTGTCACTTAGGGATAACAAAATAAAAAATATTGAATCAGATGATATATTGAAATAATATATTGATATACTCATACATTTGATATATCAAATAAAAAATATCGATATATTCTTAATGAAATAAACAAAAGTCATTTTTTAATAGTAAAAATGTGATTTTTTGTTCATTGAGAAGTAATAAAACATACAATACATTTTTTTTAATATAGATACCATTCTACCTTACTCTAACTTAAATATTTATATAAATATTTATGTTATCAGTTAAAAAATGCCTTATTTTGTGTAACGAGTAAATATTTGCGGGACGAGTGGAGCGAGGTCCTTCAAAATGAACGAGTTACACAATACAGCATTTAACATTCAAATTTTTTTTAATTTTGACTTGATTATTTATAAAATTGTGTTTGGTTAAAATATGATTCACCATTATTTTTTTGTAGGTACTTCCAATCAAATATTTCAGAAAATTGCCATACGTTTTTTTCTTCAATAATAATAAAAATAAGGGAAATGTGCAATGTTACCGATCCGATTTTTGACATTACCAGCAGGAAATTAAAAAAAAAATACTTGTGGCACTCGGGGACTGCCGCGGTAAAGCTATTGCATAGCATTTATTATCAACTTATGCAATTATAATTATTTATTTTATTTATGCAGTATTTTTTTGTTTTTCTTTGATATTAGTTCAAGTTACACTTTTTGAGCGTGGTGACCGATATTGAATAAATGAGAAGTTAATATTGTTTAAAATATTTTTATTATCTTACAATACATGTAGGTTATTCAGGAATTTTTATCATTGAAACTATAGGTTTATGGTAACTGAAATAAAAAACATAAGTTTGAGACTTGATATCCTCTAAATATCTGGAAAATACCGCGTCAATGACTGTCTCATATTTCGTTGTGGATTTTTGTGAATCATTATTCATTTTCAAATTAAATTTTTCCGAAATTTTGTCTAAAAGAGGTAGAATCAGTTAGCAGCTAGTCTACACGCATATGTCTAGTCGCACGCACACAAACACCGTGCCGAAGTCTGCCGAACTGAAACGACGTTAGACGATGCACGGCTTTCAACTGCGCACCGCTGTGCCGGTCGGAGTGGGGGGTGTTAGGTTTATTTTCGTTACGGAATTTCTGTTTCGATTTTTCGCTATGCAATAGCTTAAAAAACGTTTTTACCTGTTATCCTTAAAGGAGTGCATCAAAATTTTACCCTCAACATTTCTGGGCAGTTTTGAATAATTTAAAAAATAAAACGCAATTTACAGCTTTTATTTTTTTGTTTTCCTTTTTTTTTGTTAAACGTAATGTCAAATGTGAAAAGGCACTATTTTTTTTTTTTTTTCGTTTTTTTTTTTATTTTTTCAATTTAAAAACCATTTTTTGTATGTATGTTCAGCGATAATTCTTTAACACGGTGTCCGATTTCAATGATTCTTTTTTTGTTAGAAAGGGGGTACTTCAGGGGTGGTCTCATATAAATTTGATCAAAATCTAATAAATGGGTCCATTAGAGAATCCTCAAACTTTTCATTTTTTATGTATGTTTAGCGATATTTCTTTACCACCTTGTCCAATTTCTAGGATTCTTTTTTTTTGTTAGTAAGGGGGTACTTCAGGTGTGGTCCCATATAAATCTGCACGATTTTGAAGTCGGTTTTTTAAAATTACTTTTAATACTGATAAAATATGATGAATTGAAAACCTCCTCATTTTTTGAAGTCTGTTAAAAGAGGCATTTTTATTTATTTTCATTTCATAACTGGTGACAATCAACTTTTCGTAATCAGTTACATAATGTTCTACTTTATGCAACTGGATTTAAGAGTTCAAATAGATTTTTCTTCAGAAGGTCCACATACATTGCCCCCTCTCTATGATCTCTGTACGGCCCCCTAAGGGGATGCGCTCCACTGGTAATAAAATTCTGCTCTAGATGAAGACTGGACAATAATTTTTCATTTTAAATGTATCCCTAAAAAATACAAGCCAAATAGTCAAATTGGATCAATATACTATCTAAAATCATTAAAACAAAAAATTCTGTAGTCATTTATTTTCTTTTTTTTTTTTTAAATATATTTTGCCCTTTTTCAAAATAAATTTAACAAAATAATTTAATTTCCACTTTTGAAAAGTTTGTTTAGACATGTCCAATTTTCAGACTTTGTGCCTGTGGACATTTAAAAAAAATGATTAAGCTCATAATGTTGCTTTCTTTTATAATTTTTATGATGTCGCAGAAAAATTTAAGTTGCATTTTTTATGAAGTGAAGACATTTTTTAATAAGTTGTTTAGAGATTTACAAGACTTGGGTTTTTTTTTTGTTTAGCAGGAAGCCGAGGCAGCGGCCACTGAGAACGGAGCTAAAGAGGACAGTGTAGACGCCCCAGCCTCCGAAGACGAGAAAAAAGAGGAAGAAAGCAAAAGCACTGCAGACGAATCGGAGTCTGCAAGTCATGAAGAAACAGAAGCTGAAAAACCCGCTGAATAAGTACTTTTATTTCCAATTTTTATTATCAGTTCGTTTTTCTATTCATTAAATCCACTGTAGGTTAAAAACAAATGTTCAGAAAGTTCTTTTAACATCAAAATTGACGCAACAAAAAAAGCAATGCTAAAACAAAACAAAATTTCAGACGTGTTTTTTGAGTTGTGATTTGAAAAACAAAAACGTTTTAGTAGGGTTCTAATTTTTTTTCCTCCGAGGTTAGTTTGTATGAGCTGCGCCATGCAAGATTATTGCAAGATAATTACTGTTAATATATTATATAGGTTAGGAGTCATTCTTTTGTATATTTTTTAATTTGTTTCAATTGTTTTGATGGCAATTAGTAATATGTAAGTCAGCAATTTTCATCTTACCTACAGGCTAGTTTTAAAAAAATTATAATAATGAGTGAAAACGATGCCTAAAACGTACATATGGCGGCAGTATGTACATGAATCTCTCAAATCAGATGCTGTCAACTTTTCATTTGCAGCAAAAATATCCTTTTGTTTTGGCCTGAAATTTCTTTTTAATCTTTGATATCAAATTATTTCCCCGGTCCCTTACAGTACGGTGTTAAATACGAGAGGAAATTAAAAAAAAAAATGGATTTTATTCATCTTTAGAAAAAAGTTGCAAGGGGTTAAATCGGGCGAATGTAGAGGATGAGATGCATGGGGATCTCGCTTGCCAGTTTTGGTGCAATTAATTGCTATTCCACAAGTCTATCATCCATCTGATGTTCGTCTTCCATGATGGCTTAAAGTATTTTTACCTCAATTTGGGTGTTAAATAGTTCAGCTATAAGTCCAATTGGAAAAAAAACCGTTTAAGTGTGAAATATGTTCGAAACAACTAAGTTTAAAATTCACACTAGAAAAAAATTATTTTAGTGTAAGATACATTCAAAACAGTTGGACCACAATATTTGTATTGGAGATATCAGTTCAAGAGTGAAATATGTTTAAGGCAATTTAGCCATAAAAGCAATTTAAAAATGCATTTAAAAATTCACACTGGAGAAAAATAGTTCTAAATTGCATTTAATAACGTTCATGGAGAAAAATAATTCAAATGTGAAATATGTTCGAAACTTTTAGTGTGAAATACATTCAAAACAAATGCACCAGAAAATGCATATTGGAGAAAAACCGTTTAAATGTGAAATATATTCGAAACAAATAAGTGTAAAATTCACACTAGAAAGAAATAAGTTTAGTGTGAATACATTCAAAACAGTTGGACCACAATATTTGTATTGGAGATATCATTTAAAAAATGAAATAGGTTCAAAGCAATTTAGCCATAAATGCAATTTAAAAATGCACTTAAAAATTCACACTGGAGAAAAATAGTTCTAAATTGCATTTAATAACGTTTATGGAGAAAAATCATTCAAATGTGAAATATGTTTGAAACTTTTAGTGTGAAATACATTCAAAACAAATGCACCAGAAAATTCATATTAGAAAAAAACCGTTTAAATGTGAAATATATTCGAAACAAATAAGTTTAAAATTCACACTAGAGAAAACTAATTTTAGTGTGAGATACATTCAAATCAGTTCCACAATATTTGTATTGGAGATATCTGTTCAAGAGTGAAATATGTTTAAAGCAATTTAGCCATGAAAGCAATTTAAAAATGCACTTAAAAATTCACACTAGAGAAAAATAGTTCTAAATTGCATTTAATAACGTTCCTGATGGAGAAAAATTGTTCAAATGTGAAATATGTTCGAAACTTTTAGTGTGAAATACATTCAAAACAAATGCACCAGAAAATTCATATTGGAAAAAAACCGTTTAAGTTTAAAATTCACACTAGAGGAAACTAATTTTAGTGTGAGATACATTCAAAACATTTCCACAATATTTGTATTGGAGATATCTGTTCAAGAGTGAAATATGTTCAAAGCAATTTAGCCATAAAAGCAATTTAATAATAGTAATAATAATAATAATAATAATACTCTCCCTAAAAATTCACATTGGAGAAAAATCGTACCAAATGCGAAATTTGTTCAAATCTGTTCAAACAAAAATAGTTCAAAGTTGCATTTAATAACTCATTATGGAAAAAAATCGTTCAAATGTAAAAAATGTTTGAAACCGTTTAATAAACAAATAAATTGAAAATCACACTGAAAAAAATAGTTTTAGTGTGAATTACATTCAAAACAATTGGACTAAACAAATTTACATTGAACAAAACCCATAAGTGTGAAATGTATGTGAAACCATTTAATTAACAAATAATTTTAAATTTACACTGGAAAAAATAGTCTTTTAGTGTGAAATATATTCATTATAGTTGGACCAAAAAAATTCGCGTTAAAAAAAAGTAAAATATGTTCAAAATACATCGAAAAAAAGGATTTATAGTTACATCTGACGTTTTTAACTTGCCAATGTGGTTTTATTTCTATTGAAACTATACCCTTTAAATAAAAGCCCGGTGATTTCCACGCACAATGCCACTGATAACACCCTAGAACACGCATCTTCTATTAAATAATTCCGGAGTTTTTGGATTCCCTCTCCTACAATAATTAGAATAATTTCGACCGTACTGTAAGGCCTATTGAAAAAATGTCACCAAAAGTCAAATATAAAAATCAACACTAGTATACTGACGATAATATAAAACGGCGTTCCATCGAAGCTAAAAAAATTGGTATGAATGAGTTGGTGTTTGTGAATTTCTTTTATGTAGCAAAATTGATCTATTGAAATTGAATTTCTTCCAAAAGGATGTATATTAATGGTACTTAGATAATAGGTTTAGGTCTTATATTTAAATATAATTTTTGTGTATTTTATTTTGAGGTTAATAAGAAATCTTTTTGTTTGCAAATGAAAGGTTTTTCCTACGAACTTCACTTAAAAAAATATTTAGTAATGTATAAATCATATTAACAATGAATTATTTTGAAGCACGTTGCTCAGATTTTAACACCAGAATTAATAAGGCAGATGTATCGCATTTTTGTTTTTCACGCTTGTTGAATACCGAAACTTAATTATGGTGTTACATTCGACCTAATCATCAGTTTGACATCAATTTGTACATAAAATCGGTAAATATCCGACGTATTATTCATTATTAAACATTTTTCTTAGTGTAGAAATCTTATATCATCACAAAAAATTCAGTGACTGTCATGTAAGTTCCGTTCACTCTAATATTTTTGCTTAAATAATTGGTAGTCTAGAGTTCAAATTTAATTTTTTTCCGATTCTTGTCAAAAATATATCATCGGGTTTTAGCTATATTATAAATTATACATTTAATAATTAAAAGAAAAAAAAAACAATGGTGTGTTTTGTGCAAATATCGGAGATATTCATAAAAATTGTTTAGGCGATATTCTATAAATCAGTTCAAACTAACTACTCGGCGTCCTTATCGTACAAACAGAACTTGCAGCTCATATCTTTGAATTTCATTAGATTGTATATTTAGAAAAAAAGTCACAAATTTTAGGTAAATATAACATTTCGTTATGATGTAAGAGGCTTAGAAAGATGTGATCAATTTTTTTCAAACTTTTCTCAGCCTCTAGTGTGACGTTAATTTTAATTCTTCTCGGTACAAATGAACTACTTATTTTTGTTTTCTTTGAGTACGCGAATTCATGACGAGACGAGTTATATTTACGGATTTACTTCTTTTTCAGATAGAACTGATTAGAAATGTGAACGAAAAAAAAATCTATACTTAATATTTTGTATGAAGTACACATCATTGTTTTAAATGAAAAATTTTGTACGTACGTGCACAATGGCCGCCACCAAGTTGACAAAAAGCCCATTCGGACTATAAAATCGCTCCCTCTTCATCCATTCATTGTTTGTATTTTCATAGAAATATGTAGTAATATATTTTAGATTTATTTTGAACGTAAAATAATTGTCCTGATTTTATATTTATGTAAACTAAACTGTATGGTTAATTAATATAAATGTGAAATAAATTTTCATTAATTAGACAAATATAAACTTTTTTTTACTTACCTTAAAAACCTATGAGGGGCGACTGGATAAAGGGGTTTTGTGACAAAATGAGTTCATAAAATAAATTAGCTTGTGGGAACAGACGATTTTTCCCAGAAACTTTAATTTATATGCACTGGTAAGTGTAAATATTCCTGTTATAGCCAGAGGTATAGTGTGACTTTAAATTCGCCAGCAACATACAAAAAAACTAAGGAGACTGATACATCATCTTTAAATTAACAGAGGAGCATTCAAGAAATTAGTATACTTATTTTATTTTTACTTCTCTCAATAAAAGGGAAGTATTGTGAAAATTTATATTTTTACGTTTTCGGGCACCTAGATTATGAAAAACATGTTTTCTCCATTCCGTCGGTCTGTCTGTTGGCGCGATAGTTCACAAACGTCTTGAGAGAAAAACTTCAAATTTTGTATGCAGGGGTGCGTTTATGTAGGGTAAATGCGTCCGGACGTTGTCTAAATTCAAAAAAGCGTTCCTAAATATGGAACGTTTTATCTGGACGAATTACCCCAGCCGTTCCTATTTGAAAGAAAAACGCGTCGGGATGAAGAAATTTTGTATAATGTTGACCATATTACATGAGTGTTGTAAATATTCGATTGTAGTATGGTCCATTATACACGAATTGAATACTATACTTTATCTACAACTGAATACGGGGGCTCAACGAAAAGGGGATTTTTAGAAAAAATTCTTTGAAGTTGTTATAAATAGAATTGACAAGATTGTTCACAATTAAAAGACCTTTCAAATGAGTATTTAAGCCACCGTGTGAAATAAAACGCCAATTTATACAGGAACTCGTTTAATTAATAGTAACATTACAATTTGAAATATTAATAGCTCCGGTAATATCATTGAGATTATTGTTTTTTAAAGAAAAATTAGTGTTGCTATTGATGAGTACAGAATCATGACGATCACTGTCAGAAGATGATGGATTATTAAGACCAACACAATTTTCATTATTGATTTGACTTCAAATTGCTTGAGCTGTTTCTATTTTGTTCTTTTTTGAATTGGCGATGTACGCTTCTGCTGTGGAGGCGGATTTCCAGCCTCCATGACGTTTTAATGTTGTCATTGAGGCTCCAGAATCTGCAACCAATGTTGCAGATGAACGCCTGAGGCAATGGCCAGTATATCTCTCAGGGTTTGGTAATTGTAAAAACGTAGCAATTTGCTTTCCCATTGCGTTAAACTTGTTTATTCCTATCACTTGTTTTGTACACTTTCCTTTTTGGAAATTGAAAAAAAAAATCTTGTGGTGCATTTTCGGGCCGGAGGTCTATATATTTTTTAACGATTTTGAAAAAATTATCCACAATTGTGAAATTCCTTGGGACTTTGGTTTTTGTGTGTGGCACGTTTACTTGAAAAAATCCCTCAAAACATCTTAAATCCCCAATTTTGATATTATTTAATTCACAGGATCGGCAAGCACCCATGACCCCCATAATCAAGGCAACCTTAAAAAAATGTGTAGATTAAGTTAAAGAATTTTGATTTTCGATTCGAGTTTTTACCTTTGTTCCAAGATATTTAAAATCTGGGGCTTCCTTTATAAACCTCTCAATTTGTTCACCAGTTAGAGCTTCAGATTTCTTAGGTTCGTAATTTTCGGATCGTCTTTTCAACAAAGCACGTAATCTCGGATATTTATCAATGTCGACATTGTGCTTCATGTTTAACATGCTTTTTAGCATGGAATAGTTTGTCCATAAAGTAGACGATTTGTATTAACTAGTAATTTCCATAAAATATACAAGCACAGTGTCTTCGGAAAAAGAGAATACATTTTTTGTTTGTTTCCACGATATAAATTTGTTGTATGCAATCTCATAATTTTTCCTCGATATTTCAGGTAATAATTCCAACGACGCCACTTTAGCAGCGTCGCGGATTTCAGCAGGTGTTAGTTCCATGTAATCATCGTCTTCCATTTTTTTAATTGATAAACACTTAAAACGGGCTTAATATTTAATATTTAATTTCAAAAAAGGATCGGGAACAACGAATAACTGTCAACATGCTGTCAACTAACTTGTCAAATGCATACTAGATCTAATGATTTTTAATTCTAGTGGGGTATAATTGACAAAAATCGTGTAATATGAATATATTCTCACTAGTGATATATGGATTGCTTTATATGTTGCCTTAGATACGCATATAATACATCCATAATGACAGTTGTAGATAAAAATATTTAAATAGTATGAATGAGATAATTAATTCCATCAATTAGCGTATAGTTGTCGGAAACGATGGTAATATCATTATATAAAATGATGCAATTCTATGACACAGGAAAAAAGGTAATGAATTGAATTTTTACATAAAAAAATCTATGTGGACGTCAATGATGTTACCTATTTACTAATTTTTGATAATTCCTACAATCTCAGATATCAGAAAAGACATAACCAAAACTTGATTTAACAATACTTGCACTTACCATTCGTATTTATCGGGCAAAAATAAACGTTCCCACGAATTTTGTCCGGAAGATTGAAAATTTTATGCTCTCGATTTCTGAACGCATCCCAGGTAAGCCTTCCTCTTGGCTCAAAACCGGTTAAAGGGTATTCCAATAAGAGTTAAAGATATTTTTGTTTGCTACTTTTTTTGTCACAAACTTTTTATGTTGTATTCTTTTTTTGTTGCATTCTGCAAACCAGTACAAGTTTAGCAATGGAGCAGTACACAGTAGAACAAAGAGTTTACGTTATTAAAACGTACTTTGAAAATCGACCCTCAGAAAGAACCATTCGTAATATAGTGCATAAATTCGAAACTACAGGTTCTTTACAAGCGTGAACGTCCAGCTCGCTCGGTTGATAATATTGAAGCTGTTCGTCAAAGTGTGGCTGACAATCCCCAAATGTCTATTGCAAGGCGTTCGCAGCAAGTGGGCACCAGCAAAACCTCAACATGGCGAATTTTGAAAAAGGATTTGGCTCTCCACCTTTACAAGATTCAGCTAACAAAGGAGTTAAAGCCAGCAGATTATGACCATACGCCGTGATTTTGCTAACTGGATCCTACAGAGGAAGGCAGATAATTATTATTTTTACAACAAAATCATCTTAAGCGACGAGGCCCATTTTCATTTGAGCGGTTACGTAAATAAGCAAAACTGTCTCATCTGGGGCAATGAAAATCCTAGACAAATCCATGAAAAGCCAATGCATGCTCAACGTGTCACGGTTTGGTGTGGTTTTTGGGCTGAAGGTATCATTGGACCTTTCTTTTTTGAAAATGAAAACGAACAAGCTGTTACGGGGAGCGACTTTTTATGACATGAGATAAGGGACATGGACTTTAACAATATGTGGTTTCAACAGGATGGTGCGACATGTCATACAGCAAGAGAAACGATGGATTTATTGCGTACAAGATTCGATGGGAAGATTCTCTCAAGAAATGGGGACGTAAATTGACCACCTAGATCATGCGACTTGACGCCGCTGGATTATTTTTTGTGGGATTATGTAAAAAGCAAAGCTTACAAAAACAATCCCCAAACAGTTCAACAGTTGAAAGAGGAAATTCGCCGCATAATTCGTGAGATAACACCACAAATGTGCTCAGATGTTATGGAAAATTTCAACAAAAGAATTGTTTCCTGCCAGAGAAGTCGTGGTGGACATTTGCTAGATATTTTATTCCACGTATAATTGTAAAGATTTATATTTTATATTGCAATAAAAAATTGTCATTTATGTTGTAAACGTTTTCTTTTATTTATTATCAACATCCGGAAACTCTTGTTGGAACACCCTTTACTTCCAGTCAGATATATACAGGGTGAGCAGTTAAAATAAAACATTTATTTTTAAACGTCAGTAGATTTCTACAAAAAATTGGTTTCTGATAAAATTGGTACCTGATCAAAGATAACAGATCATAAATTACTTTTTAAAAATTCAAAATGACTTCTCTGTTTTTACAATTTATACAGGGTGTTTCTAAATGGTATGTTAATATAGTAGGGGTGTGATTCCTCAGGTCATTTTATGAAGAAAAGTTTATATGAACATATGTCCGCAACGGCTTCAATTTTTTCCTACAAGGAGTTGAAAATTTGTTTCTCTTGCTCGTACTATGCCGTTAAAAGGCATGTAATTGAATATCAGCCGCTCGACACACTGCGCCACCGAGGCGATTCGCACACTCAGTAATAAAGTGGTATAACTCAAAATTTACATGCTTAAACTTTTAATCGTCATACGGTACAAAATGGCGTCCTCCATAAGTAAAGCTTTTTAAATGACGCTGCTACTCCAAGCTAAGACGTTCTGCGTTGGAATGTTTTACGATTAAAAGTTTAAATATGCAAATTTTGAGTTATGCCACTTTATTACTGAGTGTGCGAATTTTAAACATGACATGTATTTGTCACTAATGGTTTATTTTAGAAACATTTTTTGTTGATCACTCGTTATAATATTTGAACCCTAAGAGAATTGTTAACACAGACGTTATAAGAAGTTCAAGAAACCGCCGACTGGAAGAAAAAGTAGTAACGAATTAGAGTTAATTTAAACATGTTCGACTGTATAATAAAATGTTATTATTAGTAAAGAAATTTTATTTATAAAAAAAGCAATACATAGATGATTAATATTATTACTACAACACAAAAACTGTATATTTTTTTCACTAGAGCTAGGTGGGAATCTACTCTTAAGATTTAATTTTTTGTGTCTAACTACTTGATGTACTTCTTGTTAAATTCATGTATAGCTATTAAAATAATTACTAAATAACCCGCAAAAAACTGAGTATCTGCTGCTAGTTTTAATAGTTTTTTTGTTTCACTTAGAGATATGCAACCAAATAATCACGTAAGACGATAATTCTAGTGGAAGCGGTACAAAGTTATTCTACATACTTTTTAGCTCCAAGTACATTCTTTACTTTTAAGGCTGTGTAGTTAACTTTATTAGAGTTTAGTTAAAATTAAAGGAAACTTCGAATTTGCTTCTATAAAGGGTTCTATTACATTCCCGATTGAATGATTCATATCGGCTATCTGTAACCATAGGCGTTCCTTATAGTTGGGTAAAGGGGGTTTATCCCTTTCATCAAATATTCCTGGTTTTAAGGACAAGTGGGGTCGTAAAAAGGCCCAAACAAGGCCGAGGGACTCAAAGAATCAGAGCATGACCAGATTCGTCGGAAATGGCACATATTACAGTATTATAGGTTTACTTTGTCAGTCCGATGTCACGTTTGTTGTCTATACAATAAGTCAAAAACGTAAAATAGATGTCACCTTGAAAATTTTACCAAAAATCAAGCTCTATGAGGGGAAGAAGCACTTTGATTCTGCAAAATTTTTTTTAACAAAAATGAGGGGTTAAATGAGGTTGAAATATTTAAAAAACTCCTCACTCAAAAACGGCAAATAGAATCAACTTGAAATGTTTGGCAAAAATCAAACTCTATAAGGGGATAAAGCACATTGATTAAAAAAAAATTGAATAAAATAGGGGTTAAGAGGGGTTGAAATAAAAAAATAGAAATTAAAAGCGATATCAACTTGAAATGTTTAGAACAAACATCAAGGTTTATAAATGAATAAATAAATAAATAAAAATGGGAATATAAGGGGGGTTAAAATATTGAAAAAAATCATAACTTAGAAACTAAAAACGATATCAAATTGAAATTTTCAAGAAAAATCAAGCTTTATACGGAAATGAAGACTTATCTGAAAAAAATCTGATTGAAAAAGAGGGTTAAGGGGGCCTATTAAATCGTGAAGAGTATAATAATATAGAATGTCAGGTATTATATCTTTATTCTAGTAAATTTTTACGTTTTAATCTTTTTTGTTGCAAGCTTATTATATTGTACCCCATGGCTTTCGAGAGAGCTTCTTATCGAAGTACATCTTCCAAGAGTTTTCTTTTGCGATTCTTATTTAATTTTTATAAGCTTTTTTGGAACAAAGATACGTATCTTTGTTTGCCTGGTATTCAGCCGTATGCATAGTCGATCGCCAGCGATTCGCTGGCGATCCGCCGGCGAAAGCCCAAAAAGCTGGCGACTCGCCGGAGATTGTCACTGGAATGTCATTTCACGCAAGTTTTCCCGTTCTTTTTTAGGGAAAAATTTGATATTCGTTCATTATTTTTTGAGTTTTAAGAAATAAATCATGAATAAAATGCGAGAGATACCGGTGATAATCCCTATAAGAGAAAATAAAAACTTGCGTGAAATGAAATTCCGGTGACAATCTCCGGCGAGACGCCACCTTTTTGGGCTTTCGCCGGCGGATCGCCAGCCTGGCGAAACGCCGGAATGAATCTCTGGCGAGTCGCTGGCGATCGACTATGCATACGGCTGTAAGTTTCTTCTGCGTTTGCTTTGGTGGATTTTCTCAGTCGGGCTACCTTGCTCTTTATTTCATTGATGTTATCACTCCATCATGAAGTGAGCCTGCTTCTGCCTTTAAATTCTCTGCCACTGGTTAAAATCAAAAGACCAAAGTATTGTAGTAATCCACAATTCTTTGTTTTATCTACTATTATTACATGATTACATTTTTATCATTAAAGCTTTCAAAATACCTGAGTTTGTAATTACTTATATAAATATATATATATATTTTTTTTAAATTATATACAGGGTGTTAGTATATTCGATCGATAATGCTCTATCACAGAGAGCTCTCGTTAATTGATGAATTTTGATATAGGATCATGAAATCCTAAAGATCTTAATTACCGAGATACAAAATGTTAAAAATTTTAAATCTAGAAATATTGAGTCCTTACAAGTGATTAAGAACATGTAGACTTTTGTTTAGAAGCAAATTTCCGTGACACTGTTCATTTTAACTCCACAAAAAGTTAACTTTTTATTTACTAAAAACGAACAGAGAATTTTAAAAAAATATAACAAAAAAATAAAATATTTATTCCAGTATCTTGGTAACTAAGCCCTTTAAGGATCTATAAGTTCATCAATTAACGAGAGCTCTCTGGGATAGTAGAGCGTTGTTGGTCGAATATACTAACACCCTGTATATATTTTTATTTATTTTGCTATTTTTTCTGTATTATTTTTGTTTTTTTTTTCTTCTGTTTCTTTTTTGGTTTATCTTTTTTTTTATTTTTTTCGTTTCAGTGTTACAATATTTTTAGGGTAGCTCAGCTACTTAGGTATAATCTAGTATTAGTTTTTTTTTTTAACAAATTCATATACAATATTTTATAAACGTTTATATCGTTTAATAAAAGTAAAACATCAATGTTTATTGGTAGAAATATACCAATATTAACTAAGTCTAAGTAAATTGTGTCAGTATCTAGCGAATTTAGAACACTCTAAAATTACATGATTGAGATCAGCAATTTCATCACAAATTATACATAAATTATTATCTGACAAACCAAATTTTTTCTTGTAGACAGAATGCGTAACATGATTACTTCTTATACGAAGTATAACACGGATTAAAGACCTATTTATTTCGTTTTTGAACCAGGGACACTTTGGAATATTAGGTCGACTAGTTTTATATTTATTTCCTTGTTTATTAGGATTTCCATGTATCTGTTAATATCATATGGATGTATCCTTATAGCTCTTTATCGTTTATTCTGATAGCAGCTTCTTGTAGTTTGTCTAATTTAATGTTTCTAATATTATACCCTCTGGTTATTTCAACTCTATCTTTATTAGTACCTATACGCCTATGGTCATCTGCATTGCGAATCAAAAACTTTCTCATTAACTAATGGTCCTTCGGAGCCGAAAAAATTAATTTTACAAAATACCGCCTATACTACGTATACCAGTTGTCGTAGTACCTGGCATTACCATTGACGGCACCACGGTATCCGAAACACAGGTATAACATAATTACAGGTAACAGCGTTCGACTCTCGTCAGTGTAGTGCGATTCCGTGAGAACGGTCACTGTGTGTTGTGAACCTTAATAAAAAAAAAAAAATAGTGTGACCCGAATAATAGTGCCCGACACAACAACCCGAAAAAATGCCAAGGATTATTTAAACGGATATTGTTTATTTCTAATCAGGTAGGTCGATCAATTGTAAATATTTATGTTATGGTTAAAAAACGGTACACGTCTGCAATTGCAAGTTGATCTGTTGTTTTTCATGGTCTGTCACTCCTAGGAAAATAAATAAGCGAAAAGAAGTGCGATAGTTATAGATTCGCGGTGTTTATTTATTTTGCGATGAAGTTTCTTTCATCGATCGACGTCTTAAACGGTTTTCCGCGACCTAGAGGTCAATATATCGGGTTCCATGTCCTTCGGGTACCAACATGACGCACCGGTACCTTTAAGTTGTGGTGCTTTGGTGCTGCCGATGGTTTTGCAGATGATCGGGACCGCTACATCATACTAACATATACTGTTTACTGTTATCTTACATTTATCTTTAAACAATTGCATATATATTGTTTGATTAACTGTTTTAACGTACTATCTTTTATTTATTCTTACGCCTTATTATAGTAATGATTAATTATTTTGGTACCTAAACAAATATAAATACGTAGCTAAATAACAGGGTTGGAAAAAACCTAAGAATTAAAAAACATATGAGTAGGTTTTAAGTTTTTTAAGGTTTTTAATGTCAAAAGTTACTGATATTGTCATCATTAATATTGTGATGTTTGTTTACTTTAAAACAACAGTTTATTTATTAATAATTTATTTAAACACTTATTTATTTTATAACACTACTATTTTAATTTATATATATTTCGAATGTCTTTGAATCGTTCACTATTTATATTCACCACTGTCTATCTACTAATTACTATTTATCTTCACTGTCCATATAATAACTCCTCTGATGAGTCCTCTACCAATATTTATATACAAATTTAAAAAATTGGCGAATGTTCTAGTAAGTTCACATATTCTCTCCAATACACTAGAAACATTATCTCGTTCTTTCTCGAACATCATCGAAAGCACCTCCACCATAGTCGTCCCATAGGTTTGATCTTAAGGGGTTTAATTATGTATAATAAGCGGACAAGTTGAGCCTCAAATGCCAAATAATACAGAGAGGGACTTGGAGTATTAGAGCATGATTGAATAATGAAATGGCTCACATTACAATATCAATAACAAGAAGTGGATAAATAAATTGGTACCTAAATAACAGGGTTGGAAAAATCTCAGAATTAAAAAATGGATGAGTTGGTTTTTAGGGTTTTTAAAGGTTTTAAGTTCATATATGCCAAAAGTTATTTTCACTATCATTAATATCAATATCAAAAAGTGGTTATAAATAAATAGGTATCTAAATAACAGGGTTGAAAAAAAAACTAAGAATTAAAAAATAGATGACTAGGTTTATAGGTTTTTAGTTCATATATGTCAAAAGTTATTTTTACTATCATTAATATCAATATCAAAAAGGGGTTATAAATAAATAGTTACCTAAATAACAGGGTTGGAAAAACCTAAGAATTAAAAAAATAGATGAGTGGGTTTTTTTTTTTAGATTATTTAGGTTTTATATGTTTTTTTAAGGTTTTTAATTCATATATGTCAAAATAAAAAATAAAAATAAATAACAGGGTTGGAAAAAACCTAAGAATTAAAAAATAGATAAGTGGGTTTTTAAATTAATTAGGTTTTATATGTTTTTTAAGGTTTTTAGTTCATATATGTCAAAATAAAAAGGTAACAGGGTTGGAAAAAACCTCAGAATTAAAAAATAGATGAATTGGTTTTTAGGGTTTTTAGTTCATATATATCAAAAGTTATTTTCACTATCATTAATATTAATATCAAAAAGTGGTTATAAATAAATAGGTACTTAAATAACAGGGTTGGAAAAAACCTAAGAATTAAAAAATAGATGAAAAGGTTTTTATGTTATTTAGGTTTTATAGGGTTTTTAAGGTTTTTTGTTCATATATGTTGAAAGTTATTGTCACTATTATTAATATCAATATCAAGAAATGGTTATAAATAAATAGGTACCAAAATAACTGGGTTGGAAAAACCTAAGAATTAAAAAATAGATGGGTAGGTCCTTAGGTTTTTTTAAGGTTTTTAGTTTATATACGTTAAAAGATATTATTAGTATCATTAATATCAATATCAAAAAGTGGTTATAAATAAATAGGTACCTAAATAACAGGGTTGGAAAAAACTTCAGATTTAAAAAATAGATGAGTAGGTTCTTAGGTTTTTTGTTTATATATGTCAAAAGTTATTTTCACTATCATTATAATATCAATATCAAAAAGTGGTTATAAATAAATAGGTACCTATCTAAATAACAGAGTTGGAAAAAACCTCAGGATTAAAAAATAGCTGAGTAGGTTTTTAGGTTTTTTTTAAGGTTTTATCTTTAATATCAATATGAAAAAGAAGTGGTTATAACCTTTGGAAAGTTGATTAGTAAAATTGAGAATTTTTAATATTTATCTTAAAAAAACCTAAAATTACAGAATTTTCACTTTTAGGTTTCTTAGAAAAAAAACTTAAAAACCTAGGTGCAAAAAAACCTGTACCTGTCAACCCTGCTTAATACCCTTGGTGATCAATATCAGTCAATCGTATGGGACTTTTCTCCAGCACTTGAGTTTAAAAATTCACAAAACAAATGTACTGGGAGACAATTTTCGTGATGGGGAAAATAAAAACCATTAATAATAGTTTGTTCAACAATATTTGATATGGACAATCCACTCGAGTTGTAAAGTATATTTTTTCTACGATCCACTAACAAAAATCTACAAATTTTAAGAAAATATAACTAAATATATATAAAAAAAAATAAAGGATTTAATTTAATTTGTCCCCATCCTAGAATTGAAATATATATTCTCTTCATCCTTTTCTTAAATTAAGCTAGATGCCAGTACATTAATTTTGACATTTAACTTTAAAAACTTTTGGATCACCCTGTATGCATTTACATATTTTTGAATATTACTTAGGTTTTATGGGATAAGATTTATGCGACTACCTATCTTTATTAGTAAAAATGAGATCTCATGGTCAAAGGTGTTATTAATAATAATTAAACAGGGTAAGTAAGGTTACTAATACAAATAATTTTGAAAGAAAGGGAAAAATAAAGAACTTACGGGAATGAAACAAGAATATTACCTAAATTTACATTTTTTTAAAAAATTGTTTTAAAATAGTGTCGTCTACATAGTGTTACTAAATTAGTATGCACTTACTATAAGGAAAACTTTTTTGTATTAGAAAATGTTAGTCGGACTTTGCCTACAAGCCAATTTTCAATGATTTAATGTTAGAAATTATTTTTTTTTTATTTACAAGGTATGTTAGAAAATATGAATTTAGCTCTAGAGTTAAGTCAACTTGTTTTTAATAATAAAGAAAAATGTTATATATGAAAGGCAAGTGCCTTGATCTCACCACCATCGAAGCATATGACATTTTTGCTTTAATAGTCTCAATTACATTGGTTTAACAAATTATTTATAATTATAGATGAAATAAAAATGCTATTATTTAATAGAGCTGTGATAGCTAGAGGTCTTACCGACCATCTTATTTGACTACTTCCTTTTAAGTGGGTTCTTGTACATTATTTTCCACCGTTTGGCGGATCCGATGAAGAGTTTTTGTACAAGCCCAAATAGACTATAGAATCATATAAATCGGACAAGGTGGTAAAGCATTATCGCTAAACATACATAAAAAAATGAAGAGTTTGAGAATTTTCTCATGGATCCAATTATTAGATTTTGACCAAATTTATACGGGACCATCCCTGAAGTACCTCCTTTTTAACAAAAAAGAATCATTGAAATCGGACACCGTGTTAAAAAATTATCGCTGAACATACAGAAAAAAAATATTGCTACGAATTGAGAACCTCCGCCTTTTTTTGAAGTCGGTTAAAATAGGTTTGGAACATAGAACACTCAGTACAAAATTGCATATCTAAGTATTCCATTAAAATCTCATTTAGAAACTGACTTAATTCTTAATTTTGCGCTTGAATACAATAACAATTACGAACAGGTACCTAATGATTAAAGTTATTTAGTCTCGGATTGTATTTTCACTTAACAGAATCATTGCCTACGCAAATTCTTTTTATATCTACTAAATAAGGTGATGATTCCTAATAAAATTAAAAGTTTTATGTTCCAAGTAGGTATAAAATAATTACATTTGTTCATCGCGATAAAAATAAAACTGCATCATTTAGAACTAACGCACAAAGTTTTTTGAATCCCAACAGAAATGGAAACTTGTCAAATGAAGAAAGTTATAAAAATTAGGGAAAGTTATGAATCTAAACCAGATTCGAAATAAATTATAAGAGAATGTTTTACGGCTTGAAAGACAATTATCATTTATATTCCGCATTTGGTACTAAATTGTTTTTGTTTTAAAACCGGGGCAACCGCTAGGGGGAAGGTGGTTTAACTAAAGATTAAATTAATCGTAATTGACAGTTCAGCAAGAAAACATATGAAATGGACATTTGGTGCCAAAAAATAAATTATTAAAAAAAAAACTGCAGAGAAATGATTTGATCATTCCTTGGCTCTACCTATTACCCCCTTGTTAAATATTTTGTCTGTTTTAAGTTTTAGACTGCATTGGCAACAGAACGGTACTGAAGATAAAAATAACGAATATATCTGCAATATTATTAATATCGTCTCAAGAAAACATCTCATATTCATTTGCATGTTACCATTTATGGAAAAGTGCATAATAATATATTTGCAGTTAACGTTTAAGGCAATGTCAAGGTTATGGAGTCTCTGACCTTTGATCTAGACAGACACGACAGGTTGTTGCTAAAAGCAATTTTATGCCCGGATTATTAATTACAATGTTTAGATGTATGGACGCCTACTAAACTAGCTCTTTCAGCATGCACTTGTCTCCATCTTAATCTTTATTCATAATTACCAAGAATGGTTTTACATAGGCGCGCGCAGAAAGGACTATACAGGGTGTACCAATAAAAACTCCCAGGTCGGAAATTTTGGACAGGAACAGAGTTATCAAATTAAAAATAAAATACAGGTTCTCATAAAGGACCA